TCCCAGTCTGGGCAACCCAGGCAACAGAAGACAATGACTGACACCCATAGTGTGGCCCCACCTTCCTTTACTGACCCAGAGACTGACGGGCCCGACAGTCAGGTATCTTCCCATCCATAGAGCCGGGACGGAGGCAGGGGGCTCAGGGAGGCTGTGCGCTGGGGTGGAGACAGAGAAGCCATGCAGTGTGGACTATGGACGTGTAACCACCAACCCAGTATGCTCCTGGTCCAGGCATCTTGCCCTCAGTGGGGAAGCTTAGGCCCAGAACCTTGCCCCCCTGGGAACCTCAGCCACAGCCCTGGGGCTGCCTCTGGGGAATAAGACTTCTCCCCACTATGAGGTGATACCTCAGTTGTTGAACTCAATTGGTTCCAAATGTGTGTTCCCATACTGAAAAGTTCAAGAACGGAATATATCTTTCTCATAATAATGAAAGGCCAAGTAATTGGTTGTGAGGCCCCTAAATTACACTTTTCCCCAGGACTGTAAGTCATGACAGAGGCTGTGAGCCTTCTCTCATGTCACTGTCTCCGGCCCACCCTCATCACTGAGTTGTTTCTGATAGATCCAAATTAACAGTAACTTTTCAATCTGGGTTCTTTGCCTCTTGGTTAAAAATATCACACCTTTCAATACATTAGTCACTTTAGTCACTCCCCCCACCCCCCAAATGTTGATCGTGGGACTTGGCCATGTTGTATTCAGCGGCCAAATCTGACAAGCAGAGACCTGATTCAAAGTCCACATGATTTCTTTAGCTCTGTCATGGTTCTCAGTTTTCCCTTAGCTTTACTGCTGGTATCACTAACTTTTTTTGGAGCCACGGTTATGATATTTCACACAAATAAAGTGCCTACCCGCCCCCCCCAAAAAAAAAAGCACAATGATGACTTGTATGCACAGATACAAGCACTGTATGGTGTCTGGGAGGTGCTGAGACTGAAGTGTCACCCCTGTGTGTTCTCGGAGCCTCAACCATAACTCACTCTCCCATACAGGTTTTTTTCAAGTTGGATTTTTGGTTAGACTATGGAGCAAAGTTATGAACACAGAGCAGGTTTTTTCCTCTGTGAATTTTGCTGTGTAAGTAGTGGAAAATTCAAGCTTGGAGCTGCTCAGATATCGAGGTATCACTGTACTTAGAAATTGCAGGTCTCCACACCCCTCCCCGCCTTGAGGCATCTCCTACTTCCTCTTGGCTTCTACTTCTACCCCCTCAGGGACATTTCCCTCCGGGACACCCCGTACCACACTAGTTGGGGCCACCGGCCTTAGGCAAAGGGAGGGAGACTGGATGTTTTCAAAGGACACTGGGCACTGTCCAGCGACTGTCCCTTTGTGAGGCAAGAGGAAGCCAAAGAGGTGTCCACGGGTGTCTGAGGTTACCACGTTCCTCCCTGGCCAAAGGGCACCATTCCAGGCGCTTACGATTCTCCTCATGGGGCCCCCTGCTGCCCCACAGGCTCCTCCGGACAATGCCTGGCATTCAGTCACGTGCTCACCAATTCAACATGAATATTGATTGGGCCAAGGGCATGCCACGCGTGGTCTCTGCTCACATGGAGCCTGCATTAAGGTGGGGGCAAGGGGGTGCTACCTCACTGTCATCAAGTTGATACCAGCTCATAGTGACCCTATGGGATGGGGTAGAACTGCCTCGTGAATTGCCCAGACGAACTTTATGGGAGTAGAAAGCCCCGGCAGCCTCCAGAGGAGCTGCTGGTGGTTCCAAACTGCTGACCTTGCAGATGGCAGCACAGCGTAACCAGGACACCACCAGGGGTTCTGTGGGGATGGATCGTAGAAGGATAAACAAGTTCACAAGCGGTGTCTCCTCACTCAGTTTTAGAAGCAAGCCCGCTGTTGAGTGGGCCCTGCAATGGAGCCACCCTATCCCTGGGCTCCACCTCCGCTTCCACAGGTTCTTCGTCAGCACTACCCCTCTTACTCGTGCTGGTCCCCTGGGGCTGCCTGGGCCAAGTGCTACCGAGTGGGTGGCTTGGAAGGGCCGCCATTTATTGTCTCAGAGTCTGGAGACTGAACATCAGCATTCAGGGCATCTGCATGGCCGTGCACTCTCCAAAGGCTCTCGGGCAGCGGTTCACAATCTGTGGGTTGCGACCCCTTTGAGGGGAGGGGGTCGAATGACCCTTTCCCAGGGGTCGTCTAAGACACCGCTCCTCTATCCGTCTCCAGGCGGGTCCACCCACAGATGAGTACCCAACATGAAGACTGTTACCCATGCTACACCATGCTTCAAGACAAGAGTTCCTTTATTTGTCATTAGAAATATTTCACAATTTATAATTACAGTGTTTGTGATGAATCATTATGCTTTAATTATATTCTATTTGTAGCAATGAAAATACATCCTGCATATCAGATATTTACATTATGATTCATAACAGTAGCAAAATTACAGTTATGAAGTAGCAACAAAAATAATTTTATGGGGGGGGGTCACTACCACATGAGGAACTGTATGAAAGGGTCAAGGCATGAGGAAGGTTGAAAACCACTGTCCTAGAGCAAGTCACTTCCCATCCCTCCCAGCTTCTGGAAGCCCTGGGCCTTGCTTGGCTTTGCAGCCACAACATAACCCCACCCATCTCTGTTTTGGTCTTCACATGGATGCCCTGCCTGTGTGTCTCTCGGTGGCCCTTCTCCTTTCATAGGGGCAGCCCTCCACGTGGATTAGGACCCTCCCTGATCCAGCATGGCCTCTTTTTTGAATGGAGCTGGTAGCATCTTTAAAGACTCGATTCCCAAACAAGGTCACATTCACAGGTACCAGGAGTTAGAACTGTCTTTTGGCAGGGGGTGGGGGTGGAGGTTGGGGTGTACACAGTTTAATTCATAGCATGCCTTCCCTGTTTATTTTGAGCACAACATACTGTACCTTTGCAATCCTGCCATAAATCCCACCCACGGTTTTCTCATGGGTAGCCACCAGCTTCCGTGAGCATTCTGGGCACACTTGTTCCCCTCCTGCAGCTGTACCTATTTCGTGGCAGGAACTCCCACAGACTCCACTAGAATGTATAGACTGTCTGCTTGAAGCCATGAGTTGCTTCAGAGTGGAGGCTGCAGTGATGGGTGAGGCAGGTAAGAACTTAAGCTCAAGAGTAACATGAGCCGGCTTCCGGACCGCTGGGAGCCTTGGTGAAGCACAGGTTGCTGGGCCCCGCTCCAGAGCAACTAAATGAACAAAGACACTTTAGACCATGGTGCTATAAATGGACTGGTTGTGTGTTGGGCTGCGATCCAAATGGTCAGCAGTTCAAAACCCGAGCAGCTTGGCAGGAGGTAGACTGGACTTTCTACTCCCATGAACAAGTACAGTCTCGGAAAACCACAGGCGGGTCTCTGAGTCAGCACTGACTTGATGTTTTGTTGACCTTGAGTTTGACAAAGGAAAGGAAAAGGGTGATGTTGTGAGAGAGAGGGTGGTCCGGGATGAGCCTGTGAAGAGGGGATCCGTGTGTGAACTGAGCTGGGACAAGAAGGAACAGATCCAGTGGATGGCTGGAGCCCCAGGCCTACAGGCTGAGGACGAGCATCTACAAGGCTGCCAGGTAAGGCAGGGAGCCAAGTGAGTCTGAGCCAGGGGACATCAGACAGGCAGCTAATCTTGGGCTTGGGACATAGTCAATGAATGAATGAGTATCATATGCACAAGTGAGTCACACCAAAGGGTTGCTGAGTCAAAATCAACTCTAACAGTGGGTGGGGCTGCAGGAGCTCTGGAGGCACTGTGGGTTAGGCTTTGGGCTGCTAACCACAGGCTGGTGGTTCAAATCCATTAGCCGCTCTGCAGGAGAGAGATGCAGTTGTCTGCCCTCGTAAAGATTTAGTCGCAGAAACCCCTACAAAGGATTGCCCTGAGTCGGAATTGACTTAATAACAATGAGCTTGGTCATCTATTAAGCGTGCATTATGAAAATGATTGGGACAGTGTGAGAATGATCGATATGGGCCACAGAGACGGAAGCTCCTGTTGGAATTAGGGCGCCAATGGACTTGAAGGCAGAATGGCCACAAATGTTCTCTTTGAAAAATGCTCTGCATCCGTGAAGCCAATCAAGTGAAGTGCAATGAAAGGAAGCATGAAAGAAAGAAAGAGAGAGGAGGCACCTGCTCCCACTGTGCCCCTCAAATGCTGGTCCCTCTGGGCTGCCTTACCTGTTCTGTCTAAGGCTTGGTTTAAGACCTCCAGGGGGTGTTTCTCGTGGGCTGTCAGGAGGGCCCAGGAAAGCACAGGGCAGGCTTGGAATGTTCTTTCTAAAAAACTGCCAGGGGGCTGCAGCTGCTGCCTCTGGGGATTGGTCTACTTAAAGACCAGAAATGTCAACAAAAGTGACAGGTGGGCAGAGTGACCAGCCAGAGAGCATGGGAGCAGATGCCTGCTACGTCAAGCCGCCACAGTGTGGGCGTTCTGAAATGTGTGTCCCGTGCGGTGCGTGTGTTCAAGCGGGCACAAACACACACACACAAGTGTGGAAGAACACTCGCAATGTGAGCTCAGAACCTGGCGGGTCTGAGAACTCAGAAGAACACTAAGCACATATAATTTTTGAAAATGAATATTTTTCCTTACTTGGGGAGGTGAAAACTCTCTGCTGGATTCCCTGAGTTACGCGTAGAGGGCTCTAGGAAAGGATGCATGCTTAAGCTCACCAAGCCTTTTTTCCAAAACAGACTCAGTTGATTAAGACAGGAACAAAACCACTAACCACTACATTTAATTTGTCACAACCAAAGACACAATCAAGCAGGAGAGGTGGGGAGAGAGAGAAAGAGAGAGAGCGAGAGATTTAAAAGCTTGCAAACACTGAGCAGAACTGCGTGCCAAGCTAGCCAGTGCTGAGAGAGGTCCCGGCTAGCTCTCTGCAGCGCGACAGAGCAGACACTCGGTATTCTCAAAGGCTTCAGTTCCAGTACTTGACACTTCAAAACTTGAAAATCTCTGTCAAACAAAACACAGTCCACACTCGCAATGGTTTAAAAAAGGGAGCAATTTAATTATTATCATACAGAGTGCTTTAGGAGGTTTTGAAACGTGTAAAAGAAAAAATAAGTTTAGTGCATCATGTTGTTACAGTCTTTACATTGCTTCTCTTAAAAAAAACGTTAACAGTAGTATGAATAAAAGCCACCCACATAGCCAGCTGTCTGCGGGAAGCATTTTGGAATTCCTAATAAAGCTATCATTAAAAAAGAGAAAGAAAGAAAAAAAGTTCATAAAAACAAAAGCAGCATGCATATTTTCAAGGCTTTTCTGGAACATTTTCATCAGCGGACACACACTTAGGTAAAAACCAAGAGCTTAACACATTTATTATTCATTAAATTAGGTAAAATAAACTGGCCAAGCCCACTACCTCTGGTCATTCAGAAAAACATTTTTAAATTCCAAAGTGAATTAAACTGAATCTTTCTCCTAGAAAAATGGTCCTCTCATCACAAAAGAACAGGTCCTTCTCACCAGGAATGAACAGCACCGGTCTTGACAAATAAGTTAGTGAGTGCTCCGTCTCCCGGCAGGCAAGAGATAACTATAGCTCATGCTCCCATGATTCCTATGCCAAAAGCTAACTCTTCCCTCGGGCTCAGGTCACAATTTGTCTCCACTCACCGAAACTGTGACACCAATTTCACTGACAGATAATTCTTGAAAATTCTTGCCTGACACCTGGACAAACATCTCGGCTAGCCACATGATCGTTAAAACAAAAACAAACCCCCCAAAGCACTAAGTACATATTTACTCTAGGATTCTTTTTCACATTTTTGGTACATTTATTTCAGTTTCTCTCTATGCAAATCCATATGCCAGTTTCTCTTCCTTCTTCAGTATTATCTTCTGTTTAAGTAAAAAGAAAAAAAAAAAGATCTCCTAGTGAAACAAAGTAACAGAAGAATTGCTGTAGGACTAGAAGCATCCGCGAATGTGTTCAGTGTGAGAGTCAGTCATTCAGGGTCTGGATTACCAGGAGTCTTAGTGATCCACAATGTGTACGTAGGCCGTGGTGGCATGTACATTGAAATGATATAAGGCCACGTGCAACCTTCAATCCTCGTGCAGGGGCCTGATCAATAAAACGGAAATAAATTGCTTTTCCTCCCCGTGTCTAATGGTGTTTACTCTGTAAAATATTTGGTCCCTAAAGCTACACGCTTGAAACCCTCTCCGAGAACCCGGGCAACAGTCTTACTGAGCTGGACCACGCCCGGGAGCACACGCTCGAGTGGTCATCAGATCCCGTCTAAGGGTCCCAGTGTCTCCATCGGAGCAGAATAAAAATGTGTGGTATTACAATCTGGAATTGTACAAGGTGTTCTTAAAGTAGTGTACTATGTACAGTGCAGAGCTCCCACCAGCTGGGACAGTTTCGCTTTGGCACAACAGACAGGGAGTTCCAGTTCTTGTGGGGATTGAATCCTATTGTTTGAGAGGGGTGCGCCCCAAATGTTCTCAGTTTCACCAAAGTTTGGGCCCCTTCACAGTACATCTGACATCTTGAGTTGAAGAACTGAGTCTCCTTCAACGCTTTAGACAGCTACAAAAGAAACACACCATAAAAACGGGTATTGTGAAGAAAACCATACTTACATTTTTTACCACTGTTAAAAACAGGAGAAAGGTTTGTCATGAAAATATATCCTCTATGTTTTCTACAAAATGGAGACGGCTTGCTGCATACATCTTATGTAATGCACTAGATACTGCTTGAATTCATATATGGGTTCTGCTTCAACCAGTGAGTGTCTAGATATTTGTCATTTTAGGTAACAATTTATAAAAAAAAGAAAAACACAGCAGGAAATGCATACTTCTTTGTTAGTTTCTGTAATAAACAGACTAAGGAATCTTGTTATTTTTTTCCTATGGATATACAAGGCAGGCATGTTCAAAAAGATAGATGTAACTTATTTCCTACAATAACTATTTTGGAAAGGTTTGAGATTTGTTGTTTGATTTGATTTGTTTTCTTGTAAACGGAAACATATTTAAATGAACAAGTCACTATTTCGAAGACACTGAGGGTGAATCCTTTTCTAAGATGAGAAAATGTTTTATAAAGCCACTGGTAATCTGCCAGCCAAGGGGCTTAATTATTGCAGATTTTGGCATATTTCCCAAACACAAGGCACACTACAAAGTGTGTGTGTGTGTGTGTGTGTGTGACTTTAGGAGAGAGTTTCAAAACTGCAGCTTCTCATGCATTTTTCTGACCATAATTAAGACCATTACAATAGTAATATTGAACCTCAGAAGGAGCTGTATGAACTTCAGGTAAAGGCCAATCAAATGGTGTGAAAGGCTCACAAGGCTTTCAGAGGTGAGCCAATCAAGGCAGAGGTCACTACAATTATAGGCAGTCACCTTGGGGTGACTCGGTTGTTGATTTCATCTTGGCAGGGTAGCAGTGCACACTCTGTTTAGCAATTCACACACACACACACACACACACACACACACACACACACAGCCATCGAGTCAATTCCGACCCATAGTGCCCCTAAGTGGACAGGGTAGAACTGTCCCTGTTTCCAAGACTGTAATTCTTTATAGGAGTGGAAAGCCTAACTTTTCTCCCTCGGAGTGACCTGTGGTTTTGAACTGCTGACCTTGTGGTTTGCCCCACAACACGTAACCCACTATGCCACCATGGCTCCTGGAAAAAAAGACAAGGTATGTGTGTGGGGGAGCTTATTAAAAATGTGCTGCATCTAGGTCAGAAGACAAGCGCCCTGATGATCTCTGAGACCAGGAAAGGCAGGGCTCCTCTTTGGAGTGAGCGCCCCAAACTGCCAACTCCTTAGCACTTAGCATGGTAACAGACACAGGGCTCTACCCTAGGACAACATCCATGCTGCTTGTTCAAATAGGTATGTTTTTATGTTCTCTCTTTTTGGTCAGAAACACCAACAGAAAAAGTTCATCAAAACCAAAAATGAAAGAACCCAGGGAAGACTTGCCACGCACACAGAGTAGGGCCCGGCGCATGCGAAGCTCTCACTAAGGAAGGTGAAAGAAATACGGCCTGAAAGAGAGCCGAGGGAGCCAGGGCACTGCATAGAATCTGAGAGCGCTGAGGTGGAGGATAGGGCAAGGTGGCCCTGGGTAAACATGTGCCCCTCACTGTTGAGCACACTGAAGGCATCTGTAAGGGCAAGGGCCTTCTGGACCACTGATCAGCGCAGATGACTGCACGACTTTCACCTAGGGGCACTCCAAAACAGAGAGTGGAAGAATACCCATCTGTGCCGTTGACTCCCTGGAGCATTACGGGTGCTATGGGTTAAGCATTGGCAGCCAACCACCAGGTCAGCAGTTCAGGCCCTCAGGTCACTCCACAAGAGAAAGACGAGGCTTCCCGTTCCCGTCAAGGCAGACAATCCCGGAAACCCTACCTAGCAGTCCTGTGAGTCAGAGTTGTCTCAGTGGCAGTTTGGAGATTCTAAATCAGCTCATTGATTTGTAACTACAGTATAATTTTACTGAACTCTATCTCTAAGAGAATTAAGATGGAAGGAACGTGCCAGGACCTTTTCAATTTAAAGCACATTTACTTCTACTGTCATGACTAAAGAGATGTGTATTTTTAACCAAATGCAGTGCTTCTACTCACTGCAGCAGTTTGTTTTCTATCAAAGACTGAAAAGACATTTTAGTCAACGGCACTCATTTACTATCAAATCTGTTATTTACCTTTTAATGGCAGCATTTGATCTCTAAGATAGAAATCATTTCTATCACAGTTTTCAGAACCAGATGCTAACTAAGCAAACATGAATGTATACATTGATGGCTTGCATCAGACTCTGGTGTTTCTGTTAAAAATATCAGATAGTCTGACTACACAGAGCTTTTAAAACTCGAGTTGAAAATCTGCTAACATTGTAGGGGTGGGGACAGGCAAGCAAACATTTAGGGTTTAGTAAATCCTCAAATACAATGAAGAAAAAAAAAGATACCCATTTTCACCTAGTTTCCTAAAACTGAGCAATCCTCAGCCCTGTGGGAAGTCTTCCCTTCCGTATACTTTTCCCCTTCTTTTTAGTTTTCATTTTTGAATTCTTTCCTTAAATAGGCAAAAAATGAGGCTTTAGTGAAGGAGGAGGGTTGAAGAAAAACATTTTAGTAATCTGTTTTTTTTGTACGTGAATCCCGCCCCACTCAGCCCCCCTCCCACACCAGCCTCCCTGCTTAGAATGGGTGACTTTCCCTAGAACAAACTGATTCACACTTCAGAGGGGAGGTAAGAAGGTCCACACGTAAAAACTCTAATCACCACTGACGCAAGATGGTCACAGACCTGTGGGCTAGGTTGGTGGCACCTAGTCCTCTGATTAGGTGATGGGAGGGCTATTTTTGGGAACAAAATGATCCACAGGGCAGACGACTAGTACTGGATGGCCCTTCTAAAAGTCGATGGGCGAGCAGCAGAGACTGGAGGTCAAACACTTACATGTCAGTCATCTGATCTGGAAAGTTTCCGCTTCACGTGCCGTGGGGGCTCCCAAGTGTCACTGTCGTCTGTCTCCTCCTCGTCCTCTTCCTGGTCGTCCCCAATTTCCTCTTCCTCCTCCTCCTCCTCCTCGTTCTCCTCAAACAGCTCTATCCCCAACTCCGATCGCCTCTGCCTTTCTGCAAACCACTCTCGGACCTGCTCGTAGCCCATGTGCGATCTGTTGACCAGCTCGTCCAGGTCCTGCTCATTCAGAAAGTTGTGCTTCAGGTAATAGTCCTTCAGGATGGCCGTTCCAGTTTTAAACTTTATGAGGGACAGCCCCCGGTCCCAGTGGTTCAGTCTTTTGCCTCCTCGAGGCCGCCCGCGCGGTCGCCCTCGGCCCCTGCCCTTGGGTCGCCCTCGGCCCCTCCTCCTCAAGTAGGACAGCCCGTTGCCCCCACTGGCGCTGGCGCTCTGGTAGTAGTAGTACCATTTCAAGTTGCCATTCTTCCAAGCGTAACGGGTGTCCCCAAACCAGCTAACGATGTCTGTGCGGGCCAGCCCGCTTTCCTCGGCCAGCTTGTCATACTCCTCGGGGGACGGCCACTGCGTGCGCACAAACGCACTTTTGAGCATGTGCAGCTGCTCGGGGGACTTCTTGCACACCTTGCCGCTGCTCGCTGGTTTGGGGGCTCCGGGGTCCTCTCCGGGGGGGCTCTCTTCGGTTTCCTCCTTGGAGCTGCCTGCGTTGCTCTCCTCCACGTCCGTCTTCTCTTCCTTTAGGGTCCGCGCTTTGCTGCGCTCTGCAAACCACACGTCGATCTCTCTTCGCGTCAGCTTGGTCTGCGCTCGCAGCCGGTGGACCTCGTCGTCGGTCAGCACCGAGCTCCTGAGGAAACTTGCCTGCAGCGCCCGAAGCTGCTCGGCCGTCTTCTCCTTAAACTTCTGCGGGGTGACCTCGGGGAAAGCGGTCCAGGGCGGCCTGGGCTGCGAAGTCACGCCCGGGGGCGACTCCGTGGTCTCGTCGCTGGAGTCGATGATGATGGTGGCCGGGGACTCGTGGTTGAGATGCAGGCACTGATTGCTTTTGGAGTTTCTCTGGTTGTACCTGGTGTCACTAAACCATTTCTTAATCTCGCCTTTCGTCAAGCCGGTGATTTTCATCAGCCGGATGATTTCGGAATCGTGGGGAAACTGGTTTTTAAGGTAGCTGACCTTCAACTCTGCCAGTTGCTCTTTCGTCTTTTTGGCCCGAATGCCGAAAGAGTCGGGGTTGGTGAGAGCGGTTTCGTGTTTGACGAGCTGGGGAGCGGGGACCACCGCCGCGGCGCCGGCGGCTGCAGCTGCTGGCTTGGTTTCCACAGCAGGCTGGGTCGCAGGCACCTGGCTTTTCTGTACGCTGCTCTGACCGGGGACCCCAGCCACGGTCAAGGCTATCGGGGCTGTAACTGGCAAGGTGTTTGCTCCAGCGACCTGGGTGAGAACCAGACCTGGCTGGCCGACAATTTGGCATGTCTGTAAAATGGATGGTAAGCCGTTATTTGCCGTGGAGATGTGGGTAGGGATAACGGTTATGGTCTGAGGTACAGTGTGCAACGTTCCGTTGAATTGTTTCCTTCTCGCCTCCTCTACCTCCTCAGGGGTCCAGCTGACACCATGTTTGAGCCGCTGGGCTGAAAACCATATCTTTATCTGTTCCTCCGTATACTTTGCTTGGGCAGAAAGAACGGCTATTTCCGACATGGTGGGATAAGGGAACTTGTTGTAGGTGTTCAGCAGAAGGGGATTGGTATCCAATGCAGCATGGTAGGTCGGGATGCTATTAACAGGGATTAAGACTTTGGGGATCAAGTTCGAGTTCTGCTGAGCAGACATGGCAGTTATCACCTGTGCTAGTCCAGGAAGAACTGCTGCCGGGGCCACCACCGTGCCGGTGGGATGCGGGTGTATTCTGCTCAGAATGGAAGTTTTGGGATTCGATTCCGAGGCCGAGGAACTTGGCTTCTCTCCAGTTTCCTCCTCGTCTGCTTTGATGTCGTTCTCTTTCTCCTCCGGAGCATCTTCAACTGAGTTATGATGCACGGTGATCCGCTTGTTCTCTCCCTTGCTCTTCATCATTTTCATGATGGGCGTCTTACTGATAGAGATTCCGGAGGAAGAAACGTCCGTAGATTCGGCAAGCTCCGGATGCTCCTCTTTCACAAAACTGCCGTCAAAAGTCAGGTCGTTTACAGTTTGCTCAAAGATTGTCTGGTTATTACGTTTCACCATTGTCAACTTGAAGTTCTCCTCTCCCGGGTGATACTTCAGATTATGCTCAGAAAGTGCATCATACCGTTTGGTAAGAAAATTGCATTCGACACACACATAAGACGAGTTGAGCACGACGTTGGGATGCTCGGAATCCACGTGGAAAGTAAACATATTCAGATCTGGGGTTTGGAAGGTGCAGTACTTACATTCATAGCCACCTTCCACTTTTTTGGGTTGCTGATTGTCAGAGTCCACCGACTCGTGAAGGTCCTCGTCACTGGAGAGGGTCTCTGGCCGGGGGTTCTCCACAGGGGTGAGGACAGGGGGCCCTTCCTCCAAATCAGAGATCACCTCCAGCTCTGGATCCTGGTCGCTGGCAAGAACCATGCAGGGTGTGGTAGATTTTCTCCTGCTTGCCATTCTGATGGGGCGCGGGAGGGAGGGGGGTGCGGGCAAACGGGTGGAGGCTGGGGGTTGGGGAGGGGAGGAATCTCAGCGGTGGCTAAAACGCATTGAGGTGTATAGCTGTCCAGGAGTCTTCATTTGAAAACAATGGCTTTTGGTCCTTCATGTCCATTTTGGGGTGCAACAAGTCTCATTAGCAGTTTTTTCATGGTGCGATCAAGTAAGGAGCTTACTGTTGGAGGATGAAATCCTGCCGAAGTGCTGAAACTGGTGAAGTGAACCGGCAGTCACCTACATCAAGATAAAAATGTAAAAATGTTTGAAAATGTGTGACCATTACCTTTTAGATGATTGACAATTGTACTTCACTTATGGGAAGCTGCTGGGTAGCTCAGTTATCTAGGTCTGGAATAAGAAGAACCAGGGGGGAAACAGGATCAAGGCAGATACCTCTAGGCAGACTCCCTGAAGGCCATGTGCTGTCTCTGGACTTTTTTGGAAGTTGTCTATTGGGGGTGGGGGGGATGGGGGACTAGCAAAAGGCGTGCTATTGACAAGCACATTCTTATCATCAATGTGAAACGACCATCGAATAACAAAGGAGACACTTTAAAAACTGCACAAAGCAGTCACAAGTGCTCCAAAACCTGTGGGTGCCGAGTGTGTAAGAAATTCAAGCCATCCCTTATGTTATCTTCTTCCCACTGACCTAGCTCATCAGCCCAGTGCACATCCAACCACGGGGAAGAGGATACATGCATTAGAAGGATCACAATTTCAGACACACCCTCCTTAACCATTCTCCACGGAATGCCTCTAGAATCTAACACACAGCCAACCCTGTCATTCTCCTTACTTAAGGCGCATGAGGCATCCCCAGTGCGGAAAGAAAGAAGTCTCACTGCCTTCGTGCACACATAATTCCCTTCAGAAGCTAGCTCCAGTGTCACTTTCCTGCCATCTCTCACCCCTGAAAGTGACTGTTGTCCCAGGGGCAATCAACACACTTTCACACCAAGGCTCCAGCTGTTCCCTGTTCCCATTGTCTGCACCTGCTCTATGGGCCACCTTTCTCTTTGACTTGATCCTATCCCCCCCATCCCACCCCTATTTAGCTTATATTCCAACACTCGCCATATTGTAGCCGAGTATTTTTACATGTCTGCCCCCGAAACCATCTTTTTTTTTAAATTGGGGGCTCGTACAACTCATCACAATCCATAAATCCATCCATTGTGTCAAGCACATTTGTATATTTGCAACCATATCTTAATAGCCAGGATCTTCCCATTACAGGCACCAGTCTCACTCATTCTTTCTTCTCAGGCTGGATTGGGACATAACAGAGAGACCAAAATCCAGATCAAACCAGGAACTTTTAGCTGCTCAGGCTAATGCTCTCCGAGTGGAGCTCTGTGGCTGACTTCACATTCACTTTCATAAACCCTGTGTATACAAGAGGGCTGACAGCAAGCACCCACTAAACATTTAGTCAACTGAACAAAAGCCCACAGGAAAACAGTCCGACAAAACTCACCATGTCCTGAGGGCTTCAACACAGAGAACAGAAGCTGAGATGCACAAGAGTGACCGTCAATTGTCAAAGTTCATTATGTTCCTATAAATACATTTTAAGAAGTTTTCCTCCAAAATACTCAAAATGAAAATGTCATGCTAAATCAGCTCATGAAGCCTGGACCAAATGAAAACGACTGAGCTAAGTGGTCTCACTTCTTCCCGGTCACAAATTAGAGCCGCTGCCCCTTCTTGGCTGAACTGAGTGAGAAAGTGTGTGCCTCAGCCGGGTAGAAACCACGCAGACAACTAGGAGGGGAAGCCCTGACTCGAGGGGAGAGAACCGTTTTAGCAGACAGGTGTCCAAAGCGAGAGTGTCTTGATTTTGGGGGACAGTTCAGTTCCTCCTCACTGGAATTAGTCAAATTCAGACTAGACATATGCATCAGAGGAGCTCAAGCCGTAGATGCAAAGTCAAACACAACGTCTCTCGTTCTTATTTTCCTTATTGTAGCCAAGCCCGTGAGAGCAGAACTGGGCGGGATGGCCTTGCTTTTCTGGATCTCACAACTTTTCCACCCACTACAGGGTGCGGTCCCCCTCTTCTGCTCAAGTGTTCCAAGGTTCTGCCTTCCACAGGTTGTATGAATGAAAGAGAATCCGAATCCGCCTTGTGTTAGTGGCCCAAATGCCCTACTCTCAAATGTCATGCCTCTTATTTTCCTAGAAAATTCATTTGATTTCTGAGAGATTTTAGGGAAATCTAAAACTATTTCCAAACTGGTTTTAAACTAAGTTAATACCAGCTTTCCTAAACAATTAAATAGAGGTCATCACTATTTAAAAGGAAAACCTTTTATTGTCAATTGGGTGAAGGTTTACACAGATCAGTTTTCTATTCAACAATGCACACGTTGTTTCAAGTCATTTACTGCACTACCCCTAATGTAATGTCACTTATCCCATTGTCCCTTTCTCCTTTCACAACCCTTCTGAGCATTGTCCTAGGGCAATGCTGCTCTTTTGATCTCAAATGGTTGGTTATTTTGCACTGTGGGTGCTCCCTCCTATTATTGTTGCCTGTACAGACATGTGTAGGGTCAGACTGAAACTGAGCCCTGAGGTGAGTAGTTCTGAGGGGGAAGGAGGCCTGAAGCGTGACGAAGGACTATAGTTGGGGATGAGGATGGGGGATTCCATCAGCTTCTATCTGACCAGTAAGCCTGGTTCTTTTTAAACAAAACAAAACAATTTTTATTGGCATATAATTCATGTACCATACAATTTAATGGTTTAAATATATTAAAAGGCCTTTTTAAAAATGATTTTGAGTTTTATTCCATGTATTTCTTCCACTCTATGTGGGACCTTCTAATGCAATCTTTTCCAGAGCAGTTGGTAGAGGTAGCTGGGCACCATCTAGTTCTTCTGTCTCGGTCACTGCTATTTTTCCAAGTGTCAACGTAGCTGACCGATCCTGATTTGCCATCAGATCCTTAGCCAGTGTCAATGGACAGAAGAATAACAAAGGAGCAGCTTCCATGCTGGGCAGTGAAGAGAGTGACTGAAAGGCAAGACATACGCTCTTTTGTGACTGCTATTCTCCTGGAATGTGAGAGAAATTATATTTATTGGGGATGTACTAATAACTAGTAGTCAAAGGTAAGGTCTCTTCCCCCCCCAGCCCTCCCCCAGCAAATACTTCTCTTTAAAGTAGGGGTTAAATGTCCTTTATTAAGAGTAGGATTCCTCCTAACAAATTCCCAAGAGAAGCCCCAGAGATACAGGACTAGCTGTCTGGCTGGAGGCCCCTAGGAACTCAATCACCCCCAGATCCTGCCTCACTGCCCCCCCACCCCAGTCCTTACATCCACCTCAGAGAAGTTCCACAATGCGCCTGAAAGGTTTTTTCTAAAAAATGTCAACACTTTTGAGACAAATATATCGGTTTTGTCAAAACCCCTTCTCAGTTGCCACTGCTGATCCATGAAACATGAAGACTAATTGAGAGGGAGGGCCTTCAGTTTGTCCTTTGTTGGTGTCACCAAAGAAGGCCCAGGCATCAAGGGGTGGGCCCTGCAGTCAGCAGTCTGAGAACGCACAGAAGGGAGACCTGGGCCCCTTTCATACTCAACTAGCTCTCTGGGTTGTACTTCTTAATTTTTTATTTTCTCTTAAATAAAAATAGGAATATGCTACCAAGTCATTATTTCTCTTCCTAGAAGTTCATGAATGAAGAGTTGTCAATAAGAATTTAAACAGATACATATAAACTTGAAAAGCTTAACCATTATTTGCTAAAGTCAAAAGAAGTTCAAAATACGCATATGTCATATGACAACCAAGTGCTGTATAGCCAACGTTGTGTTTTTCCTTTTGAAATATTGGTCTTGACATTATAAGTAAACATTTTAAAGCAACTTAAAAGAGGGATTTTTTTTAAAAAGTCTTATTTCAGCAACACAAAAGACCCAAAATCTGACTCTCTTAGACATTTTAGATCGCCTCAACTCTGCTCACATTTTAGCCCTGAGAAACTCCTCATCCCAGTCTACCCTAGGGTTCTCCATGATTTCTCCCAAACACCCAAGTTGGTATGTTATTTAACAGATTTTTTTCATGCATGCACAGGTTTATTTCAAACAAAACATGTCTATATCTATCTCTGAAGGAGTGAATGGCTGCAGACAAGTTCTCTGCATAGTATAAGGGCAAACCCAAAATGGCAAAACAGGAAGCTGTTCTTTCTCAACATCTCCTCCATCTAGGTCTATACACTTCTTTTTTTTTTTTAATCTTTTTATTAGGGGCTCATACAACTCTTATCATAATCCATACATACATCAATTGTGTAAAGCACATTTGTACATTCATTGCCCTATAACAGATTTTAAAAGGGGGTTCAACTCTAGTGAGAGGGAGCACCCTAAAGCCAGATCAAAGGGCAAGCAGAGGCAACCTCAGGCTCTTCTGATCAAGTCAGGATTGTGGAGGAAAGAAAGACCCACCACTGTCATATTGTTACAGAAGAAGGAACCCAGGACGGGGGGGCAATCGTTCAGAGGTGTGTCATGTAGGAGGAAACCACAACTGTTGGAATAGACCAGAAAAGTCACTCAATTCTAGTCCCAGTTTTCATTATCAATAAAACCAAGATTCTTCAATGGGACACATTCATTCAATAACTATTTGTCGAATGCCAACTGTGTGCCTTAGGCACTAGGGATGCAGCCTCTCTGGTCTACCTGTCACTAACTAGCAGGCTAACAGGCAGTACACAATAACTGATCAACATGTGAGAGGAAGTACTGGGGAGAAACGCAGCATGTTACAGGTTGCTTCTAGAAACAGAAAAGGTTTCCCTAGAAGAAGCAGGAAGAGTAACATCTACCTCAGAGGCTGATCAAATAAAAATGTTCCATCAACTCAGGTACACAATAGGTGCTCATTATGGGCTGAACTGTGCACCTTGCCTGTCCCTGCCCCTGCCCCAAATATGTGCTGTGAACCCTAACCTTACGTCTTAGGACAATTCCTTTGGAGATTTAACAAGCAAGGGAGGAAGCAGGGCCTGGGGTGGGGAGGAGAGATGGCAAGCCACAGGGAGATCCTGCAGAAGGAGCTGAGACAAGGACCTTCCTCCAGAGTCGACAGGGAGGGCCAGCACCCTGCATTCACACTCCTAGGGTCCTAAGATGTGAGAAAATAAGATTCTGATGTTACAGCCACTCATTCATGATTTTTCTGTGACAGCAGCATTAGATCATAAAATGGTGTTAGGTTAATGTTATTTTCTAGTCCCTGAAAAAATTCTCCTGGGGCGGGGAAGAAGTATCATTTGTTTGTTATCATACACACACAGTTGCCACGGAGTCCGTGCCACCTCCTGGCAGCCCGACTTCAGGAGCTGTACTGCATCAGGCTTGCAGGGCTATGACTGGGACAGAGCACCTTTCAAGGTGCCCCTATGTGGGTGGAACCACCCATCTGTTTGGTAGCCACGCCCTTTCTGCCTGCAATACCCAGGGATTATTAGTCTCATACGCATCCTCCTATTTTTGTCCTAAAGTAATTTAATCAGCTGACAAAAAAAAATTTCCCAAACGTAAAAACTCAAAACTCACTACCATCAAACCACTTCTGAGTAACAGTGACCTGACAGGGCAGGATAGACTGTCCCTGTGGGTTTCTGGGACCGTAATTCTTTACAGGTATAGAAAGCCTCATCTTTCTACTGGGGAGGGGCTGGTAGGTTCAAACTGCTGACCTTTTTAATTAGCAGTCAATGCCACACAGTAAACCACTACGCCACCAGGGCTCCTCCAATCAGCTGACAAGGTCTACAAGTGAATGGAAAAGCAAAAGGGTCAAAGGTACAGGCTAAGAGCTGCTTGGGTAGTTTGTAACTCATCCACTTTCGTCACTGCTGTGCACTCGAGCTGGACGGGAAACGTGCTCCGTAGACACAGCTACTAGCAGACAGTCATCTCTTCCTCGGCCTGACGTCATCTCACAACAGAGCTCGGAATCAATTCAGAGAACCTTGTACTATTTAGCTGCAAAAAGGGGGCAGAGGCCAGTTGCACAACTGAGAAGCTAAGTGGCTTGGCTTTGCAATGAAAATCCAATGGAACTCACATTTGACAGTAAGAGAAAAAAAATGCTTTAAGTGCATCCATTAATGTAAACATGGTTTCTTTTGAAAATGATTTTCAGTTCATCTTTCAGTCCAGGAACATATTAAATAATTGATCAAATCAATGTATTGTTGTATTACCATTAAAAATTAAGAGAAAAAAATAATAAAAATTAAAAGAGAAAGAAAGGAATATGGAAAAATATTTATCCAATGTGTAGTAAATAAAATTTTTGAATAAAAACTTCGTATCATTATAATGATAGGAAAATCTATATGCCAATATGTGAATAAAGACAAGTTGAGAATATAAAAAATGAAACTTTAATATGAGATTAAGAGTGAAATTTTTAGGACTGGTATTTACAGGTTCTCTTTAATATTGTTAGAAATTGTTTTATTATAAAATAAAACAAACAATAATAGTTCAAAGTCTGAATATTGGAAACAGACTCAAATATTTCCGTGGGCATTCATCTCAAGCTGGAAACAAAAGTTTCCTCTCCAGTCTTTGAGACAAACGCATGTGCTGCATAAAGGTTTTCCCAGGTGGAGCTGGAGCCCCTCTGTCTGGAGAGCACTCAGGTATATTCCTGTGGAGCTGCATCCGCAGGGTTTGAGAAGCAGGACTAATTCTACCAGCCCTTGGGATGGATCACACATAATCCTGAGTGCCCTTCTAGGCCAAGCCAATCCCTCTGCAACTATCTGCATATTTAATTCAAAATTCTAAACACATCAAAATAATTACAACAATGCTACTCATCAGAAAAGCATTTAATAAAAAACAAACATGAGACAGTTCTTAAGTCACAGAATTTTTTTTTTGATCACAGCAATTTTTACGGGTAAGAGAAGAGTAACTGTTTAACTCTCTACTATATTCCCATCTCAAGGCCCTGGATGGCACAGTTAAGGTTTGGCCACTAACTAAAAGGTGGGGGGCCTGAACTTACCCAGAAGCAACTCAGAAGAAAGGCTTGGGGATATCCTCCTGAAAGGGCACAGCCATGAAATAACCCACGGAGTGCAGTTCTACTCTGAAACACATGGGGGCGCCATCAATGGGGATTGACCCAATAGCACCTGTTGTGTGTGTTTTAACATAGTGTTTAAGAAAGTTCTAAAAGAAAAAGAAGTTCTAATAATATTTTCTGAAAATAAAAACATATCTATATTATGAATTATAAAATGCATCTTATTATATCAAACTAAATCATTCACAAAAGAGCATTGTACTTGTCTAGTCAGAATGCTTTCAACAGCAAAATTCTTAATAACGAAATTTATCCTAGTCATTAAACTATTGTAGATCCATTAGTAAACCATGATTTCCTTGCTCTATGAGAAAACTCTATAATGGCATTTGACTACATTTTTAAAGAGATTCAATAAGTTTCCAGTGTGATAAACTATAAAAAGCAGGGCTTCAAACTGGTTCTTTCCAGTCTAGTCACAGCACATGATGCTGGGAAAGACCCAAATTTGTAAAATGCCAGTGAACCAGAACAAAAACCAGAATGGGAAAAATTATGGGCTGACGCCCTCCTAGGAACTTAATCTCCCTCTTGGAAAAGAAGAACAGTGTGAGTGTTGCATAGCAACAAAATCTCTTGATCAACACAGTCGGAAACAATGGTGCCTGGTTTAAAGGTGGTGCTGACCTCGCAGCTTTTTGTGTACATCACCCTCCACGGTCCTGGCAATAATCCCATCTTCAAAATCAGGCTCCGGAAAGGGCTCCCTGGGTCTCTGCTGAGTCTCCCATCCCGGAGCTCCAAAGTCTAAAATTTCCCATTTGGATTCTTATTCTACTTCACCCAAATTTTGAAACTTGGGTCTGTCTCAACTTTGCTTAGTCGGCCATGATTGAACCAGTCCAAACCAGTTTGAAGACCTCATAAAAAAATTAGTGGATTATTTTAAATTCCATGCTGACTGCTTTTTAAAAAATCTATTAAAGATGTTTTAAAAAAAATATTGATAGTGAAGTAGAGCCATAGTTGCACCAGGTTTCCAAAGCTCCTTGTCTTGGCTCTCCTGCTGATGACTATGTGCTGCCCTCCAAACTCAGGGCTGGGAGTTGACTCCAACTCACGGAGACCCTACAGGGCAGAGCAGAACTGCCCCACAGGGTCTCCAAAGCTGACAGCCACATCTTTCTCCCAAAGAGTAGCTGGTGAGTTTGAACTGGCAACCTTTTTGGTTAGCAGCTGAGCCTTATAGCACCAAGGCGTCTTCCCCAGTTAGTCACAAAGGCATGCTATGTTGGAAAGATGTTATTTTAATAAAAATAAACTTTCTTTTTTACACCAATGCTGGATCAAATAATAACAGGATCCTGTTAATTCTGATCCAGCACCAACAAAATACAACTGTTGTCAGGGAGGCAGGGGTAGTCTGAGAATCCTCTGTAACCCTGCATAGACATGGAGAGTCCTCGGCCTCTGTATTTGCTTCAGTTTTACTTCTCCCTCCTGGAGTTAGAGTTCTGTTTTCCCAGCTGAAAATATTTGTTTCCTATGCTTGGATTCAAACTAACAGTTAGAAATTTGTCAAAATGGCACAACATCGACACTAACGGCAGCTGCGATGAACGACGGGGTCAAATGAAAACAGAGAACATCCGCAAGGATGCTTCTTTTTTTTTTTTATTAAAAAGATATTTTGGCCCCTTTCATACGGGGTATTTTTCCAAGTTAAAGAGTAAAGATATTTGGCTACAATAGCCCAATTCTTACACAAAAATTAAATGAGGCATCTGACAACGAGAATTTACATCCATAATAACTGTTTTTAAGAATGACTGGCAACCTAGAATCTCTACCTGAGAAAGTTCATAAAAGTTGCTAAAAATAGCCTGAGGCCAAATTGAAAAAACAGACCAAACCACCAACCAGCAAGTGCTGCTGTGAATGCAAACGGGAGCAGAGGCGAAAATGGGACAACATCTGAGAAGCTGTGGCCCAGGATGGGTGGATGTAGGATCTTGGCAAATGTGAAATAAGGCTTCAAGTCTGGAGATGCTGTGCTCTGCCTACCTGTTCCTTCTTCTCTGACCGAGAAAGCAGAGCTTCCTGACTGTAAAGCTGGACAGATTCTTCCGAGCAAGCCCTGGCCCCACATCTGAGAAGAAAGCCTTTCAAAAGTTTCGTCCTAAGGTTTTCACACCCTCGTTCTTTACCTTCTGCTGGATATATCAACGAGCACCATCACAAAACCGTCTGTTTTGGTTCATAAAGTGTATAAGTTAAAATCAAAAGTCCTTTTTTGGGGGTGGCCAAAAATTGTTTTCCTCTACTTTTTTCCCAAGAGGGATGTTCAATCTTTTACAGTCTAACACAAGGATTCTAATCCTGGTGCCAAGTGAGATTATCATTAGGCTGAAAACGATTCCTCTGCCCTTTATTTTCCCCATTTACAAAGTAACTGAAGATAAAGATAAAATAGAGTGCCTAGGGCACTGGTGCCATCATTCTTCCATTTTTTAATAATACTTCAAAAGATAACAGGAATCAGGATTGGTAGGGTCAACTTGTAAGAATGCCATTCCATTTTTAAAAGGTGAAAGTGATGACGTGACTAGTTATTGAATCTAGAACTCTCTGGAATCATCTGGAAGAGCAACTGAATTAAAATGTAGATAACGATTTCAAACATCATAGCATGTAATCTGATGCCTCTTCCAAAGCTCCATTAAATCAGATAAATAAAATATAAAGCAATTATGCACTGATGTTTTCAAATATTTAAATGTGGGTAAGGTTAACTTTAATCAAAGTAGCTAATGATTCAGATCCAACATTTTATCATTATGATTGGTGATTATTAGTAGACTATACAGACTACATATGGAATCTCTATTTTCCCTGACTTTTTAAAAAGTATCTTTCTGCATACAGACAAAAGAACCATCAAACGTCTCAATCCCCCCCAGTAGAGGTCCCTGCCCTCATGACACGCACCTGTTCCGTTTACCACTGTTCCCAAAGCACCTGGTCCAGTGCCCAGCACACAGATTTCAACAAGTGTTCATTGAAAAACCGATTATAAATAGATCACATCATGTTTTTATTAAGGATGAGCTACTGTGTACTTAGAAAATACGATGGCTAGTGCAGCCCTGTAGTTTTTAAAGTGTTACAATGCTTTGAAAAAAAGAGCTTTGAAAATTTTACTATCATGGCATTTGAAGTCAGGACCTTTGGGGGCTGGGTTTTGCCATTCCCAAGCAACACAACACATACTCGCCATGGCTCCCCGGGCATCCTGTTCTTCACAGAAGAATGGTCTTCCTTCAGACTGGGAGCTGTTTCGCTCAGGCCATCATTACCAATAGATCCGAAGTAGATCTCTGCTTTCTCCTTTGAAAAAAAAAAAGAAGAAGAAGAAAAGAGGGGGAAGAATGATCACTCCATTATCCTACATAGAAACTAGCCTTAATAAGAAAAACTTTAAATTTTGGCTTTTTATATAAATAAATCTAATTCTGAAAAAAATTTCCTCGTAGAAATTTTAAAAGCACCTCTAAAATGGCAAACCGAATGTTCAAACCAAGCAAACCAAACTGCCTGCCATGAGTCAATGCTGACTCATAGTACCCTGATAGGTCAGGGTAGAACCAACCTGTGAGCTTCCGAGACTGTAACTGTTTATAGGAGTAGAAAGTCCTATCTTTCTCCCAAGGAGCAGCTGGTGGTTTTGAACAGCTGACCTTGCGGATTGCAGGCTAACTAACCAGTACACCACCAGTGCTCTGCCAATGTTCATAGACACAAAAATTGCAAACTACACTTAAAAAAGTATTTTTCTCTTTGACACAACAATTGCTTAAGTATTTTCAAGAGAAAAGCTCCCAATGTGAATATGTGCAGGCAAAGAAAAGGACTGAGATGGAGGACTGAGGAATTCTTCACTAGCACAGAAAGGTTCTGAGAGGCAAGGCTCAGTGAACCAAGGTTTGGGAGCAGGTTATGTTTATGTGCGGACACATACGACTGCTGGTATTTGTACCCTCATTTCCTCTGTATTAATGGGAATGGAAAGAACTGCTAGTGCTGTGGGCACACGTCATTAACAATTTATATACGAGTGGTGCCCTCCGCCCTGAACATGTGAGCTCTAATACAATAACTGACGCTGAACTCTCATGGTTGTTTTCTTGTTGCTCCAAAAAGCTTCTATACCAAATGGCTTTACAGTGAGTGTGCTGTGAAACACCAGGATTGTGCAATCAAACGCATTGAAAATAAGTCTCTGGGAATTCAGATTTGTGCCCGCAATGTTGTGATGTATTATCAAGGGCACTTAAACCAATCAGGAAATGTAATGAAAACTCTTAATTGCTTCTCTTACTGGAGTAGCAGTCAATCATGCTTTTGAAGTGTTCGTTGATTCTGTTGTTGTTTATTTTAAGCACTGAAGTGCTAAACCACAACAAATTAATATTAAAGGAAGCTGATTTCTCCCCAAACACATTATCCTTTGATCCCTGCTATTATTATGTACAGGAGCCCTGGTGATACAACTGCTAAGCACTCAGCTACAAACTGGTGGATCCAGCCCACCAGCTGTCCCACAGGAGAAAGACTACACTCAAAACCAAACTCACCGCCACCGAGTCAGTTCTGACTCTGAGTGACCCTACAGGACAGGGCAGAACTGCCCTTGTGGCTTTCCAAGGCTGTAAACCTTTACGAGAGCATAAAGCCTCATCTCTCTCACAAGGAGCGAGTGGCTAGTGGGTTTGAACTACTGGCCTAGAGGTTAGCAACCCAATTCATATCCCACTATGCTACCCAAGGCACACGGTGGAATCCCTATGGGAGAGCTCTACTCTGTCCCATAGGGTCGCTGTAAGTTGGATCCAACAAGATGGCAGTGTGTTGTTATTCCATACAATTCTTTTAAAGACATGAAATCATGTACAACAGATCTCTAGTGAAGTACTTCTAGGGTTAAAGCTTGAGCTAAATTATTACTCTCCTTTCATGAAAAGCAAAAGAGCGTTTTCCTAGGAGGCCCAGGGAGAACTCTGTCCATAGCCTGGGGTCCTACAATTCCATTTCCTGGTGTCTCCCAGTTGGGCCACTCCTTACCCATCCCTCTGCAGGATGTGAATGAAAAGAGAAGATAGGAAACAGCTGCCAAAAAGGGGAAGTTATTTTCCAAAATGAATTATTAATGTTGTAGGCAGTTGGTAACCTATCTGAATCCATCCTTAAATTGCCCAGCCATTGTGAGATGTTTTTTTTTTTAACAGCGCCGCCTGGGTTTATTTGTACAACAAACAGCACAAGAAGACACCAGCGCCATGCAGGCTGCAGCCCAGGCTCACACCAGTCCCTCTTGCCCTCACACAGAGAACTCTACTTTGTGGGAGCCTGGGCGTCTTTGGTAGCTTTTGCTGGGGTCGTGGCCTTGGCTAGAGCATCAGCCTTGCTTTGTGCCTTGGCCTTGGGCCGGCAGAGCCTCAGACCCTTGGCAATACGTGCCCGAGCCCGCTTGCCAAGTTTGGGGTGGGCAATGTAGGCCAGTCGGCTGAGCTGGCTGTTGACGCCCATTGGGATCTTGGCCTTGACCTCTGTGGGCTTCACAAGATCCTGGATGGCCTCCGAGTGAGCAGCCGCAGCCTTGGTGTTGTTGGCCTGCATTTTCTTCGGGCCCTTCTTGTTGTGCTTCTTGGCGAAACGCATGTTCCTCAGGAACTTGGGGTCCACCCCCTTAAGAGATTCGTATCATTGTGACCGGGGTTTTGATGCCGTTTCTGTGCCATTTCCAGGATTGGTTGTGCGTGGTGTGGTTCTTGGACTTGGCCATGTCTGCACTGACACCTCAGCTCCGGGAGCGCCAGGGACCGAGAGAGCAAGCTGTGAGATGTTTTACCAACCAAGGGTCCCCTGAGATGAACTGCCGAGAGAGGCAGACAGCAATCAGATGGGCGGCCCAGGAGCTCTTCCACACCGACAAGGGGAAGGAACATAGCCCAGCCTGATGCTACTTCAGTTTTAGAATGTTTCCCTCCCATCGAAAGCATTTAAAAGATTTTTCAGATTAGAATTAATTCAAACATTAAAGAAGTCCTCGCCACAGCCTACATCACTTAACAAAGCAGATTGAATTCTTCTCTGCTTTAGGATCAGACTGCCTCGGTTCCAATCCTGGGTTTCTACTGACTAGCTGTGTGACCCTAAAGAAATGATGGGTTGTCTGTGCCTCAGCTCCCTCCTCTGCAAAATGGGGCTAGTAATGGTACGTACATGGACAGGACAGGCCTGAAAGGACAGGCCAAGTGTTTGGAATGTTGTGGACTACGAGTTCACACAACTGTATAACTCAGTATGTAGTTATCTAGAATGCTAGATAAAGCTGACTTTTATTTAAGGCATTAACTTAGAGAGCAAAGGATGTCTTTGCCTAACATTTGCTAAATGTCCGAGCAAAGTATTTCACCAGTCTGGGGTATAATCAATAACTTTTATTTTCTATGTTATCTCTTTGAGTTTATTTATTTTTTTCTCTTTGAGTTTATTAAGCAATGTTTGGATAACTTTTTAAAAATCATATTATTGGGGGGCTCGTACAACTCTTATCACAATCCATACATACATCCATTTTGTCAAACCCATTTGTACATTTGTTGCCATCAACATTCTCAAGACATTTGCTTTCCACTTGAGCCCTTGGTATCAGCTTCTCATTTTTTGCCCTCCCACTGGAATAAATTAAGGAGCCCTGTTGCACAGTGGTTGAAGCGACCATCCGTAAGTCGGGAGTTCAAACCAGCCAGTGGCTCTGCAGGGGAAGGAGGCAGTGCCATCAAGTTGATTGTGGCCCTGGTAAGGTCTCTGAGACTGTCGATCCAGACAGGAGCAGACAGCCTCCTCTTTCTCCTGTGGAACAGCTGAACAGTCTAAACCACTAGTCTTAAGGTTAGCAGCCCAACACATCGGAGTTGACTCCATGGGAATGAGTTTGGCTTTTGGGGTTTGTAATAAATTGGCTGTAACAGGGAGGCATTAACCAACCACAATGTAGCGTGTGAGGGTGCGTGCACACACACACACACACTCACCACCACCCCATCCCCTCTCTGACCCGAGTTTCAAGGGGAAACATTTCTGTACAATGAATTTTTAGAGGTGTTGTCATATTATTAGCACCCATCTGTTAGTGTGTCCTGCTGTGGTAACCTGCGTGTTCCTGTGATGCTAGCAGCTGTGTCATGGTACTTCAGACATCATCAGGGTCAGCCATGCCGACCAGGTTCCAGTGAAGCTTCCCGATTAAAACCAATAGGAAGAAAGGGCCGGCAATGTGCTTTCAAAGGTGTTATTGTTGTTAAGTTCTCTTGAGTCGACTCACAACAGAATATGATCCAATACAGTGCTGGCCGTGCGACATTTCCTTCAGTCAGACGCAGGCAGCTACTAGCCACAGCACAGGCCTAGCACACGTCTGCTACAAACAATCCGATCCCAGTCGTGCAAGGGAAGTGCTCTCTTTTCGCCAATCTAGTCCATTCTCCTAAGTCGAGCCCATACTCATAAAGTTTTAACAAACTTCTTTTTGACACTATAGAAGGTAAAAGGGAATCGGTCTAGCATGGAAGAAAAATATGAGTGAAATGCTTAGAAATGACAGGATGTAATTATCTCCTTTCATATTCACAACAACAAAAAAAGGGAAAGAAAATCGACCTTCATGGGGTGAGGGGCAGCAGTCAGAAATCATGTGGGAAATATGACATCGTCAAAATATAATGCTAGAGATATTTTATTAAAATGATAATACACATAAAATGTTTACACACATAAACAATAATACACATAAATGTTATTGTAATGTTTCAATTTTGTTAGCTAAACTCTGATATGAAACTTCAAATGAATTCTTAACACTCTTGCATTTAAAAAAAGTGATTTGTTCAATTTGGACACCATTGAATAAATTTTATTCTCTCCAGGGCAGATGATCCCTTCCGGACCAGTGGTGAGAGTGGCAATACCGTGAGGGTGGAGAGAGAGTGGGTCGGAAAAGGGGGAACAGATTAAAAGGATTTGCATATAATCTCCTCCCTGGGGGATAGACAACAGAAAAGTGGATGAAGAGAGACGTCAGACAGTGAAAGATATGACAAAATAATAATTTATAAATTATCAAGGGTTCATGAGGGAGTGGGGAGCAGGGAGGGAGGGAAAAAATGAGGAGCTGATGCCAGGGGCTTAAGTGGAGAGCAAATGTTTTAAGAATGATGAGGGCAATGAATGTACAAATGTGCTTTACACAATTGATGTACGTATGGATTGTGATAAGAGTTGTATGAGCCCCTAATAAAATGTTTTTAAAAAAACCAATACATTTTATTCTCAAATTGCTCACATATATTTTTTCCCAAGTATATCATCATATTTGTTTTTGACTAAAGATATACACAAACTGTCTTTGGAACCTTGAAAGCATTCTCACTGCCCTCACGTCAGTACCGACTTCAAGTGACCCTATAGGACAGGGTAGAACTGCCCCTGTGGGTTTCTGAGAATGTAACTCTTTACAGGAGTAGAACGCCCCATCTTTCTCCCAAGGAGCAGCTGCGTTTTGAATTGCTGACCTTGCTGATGGACTGGATGGCAGTCAGTGTACTGAAAGCATTTTATGGAGTGAAGTAAGTCAGGCACACATGGATGGATGTATGGATTGTGATAAGAGTTGTTCGAGCCCCCAATAAAATGATTTATTAAAATTAATAATAAAAAAGAAATGTCAGGCATAAAAGGACAATCCTGTATGATCCCACTTATATAAAATATCTAGGGTAAGCAAGTATACAAAGACCAACATTTATTCCTGGTTATGAGGATGAGCAGAGGCCTGGTGGCATAGTGTGTTACGTGTTGAGCTGGTGACTGCAAGGTCAGTTTGAACCCATCAGCCGCTCCAAGGGAGAAAGAGAAAACTTTCTGCTTCTGTAAAGATTTGTGCCTCTGAAACCCTATAAGGCCACTAAGACTCCAGGGTAATAAGTGGTGGCAGGTACTGGGGTGGGGGAGGTAGGAGGGGCAAGGGATGCATTCCTTAGGAGACGCTAAGCTCTGTTAGGGGTGAGGACACAATTTGGAAATGCACAGCGGTAATGGTACCACAACACAGTGAATGAAATTAATGTCACTGAATTACACATGTAAAATGGCTTTCAAGGCAAATGTTTTCTTATTTATTTTTACCACATTAAAAAAGCCTCATCTGTGTACTTCTTAAATGTATTATGAAATACTGATTATGTAAAACGCTGAGTGTCTTTTAAGAGGAAGAAACTGGCAACTACATAAAAATTTCCATGAACTATTTGCTTAAGAAACAGAATGTATAAAATAAGAGCTCCAAAATGCAAACTCAAATGTCGATTCTGATTTGATATCTACACATCAGCTTTACTCATTGCGGACCTGGTTACTCACATGTATCAGAGCCACAGGGAGACAACAAATCGTCTCGGCAACATTATGGAAAAACTGGTGGCCAGGATTCCAAGACCAGAGGTCTTGAGGTATTAGAGGTCTTTACCCCCATGAAATAGGGCTGCAGTCACATCTGATGATTTATCAGGATTTTAAATTAAGAAACAAATTTATATTTAAAATTGGGTGCAGTATACTAGCTATTACGCAAAACAGTATATTACTGCAAACACCTCTCGAGTTGTTAGGCTTACTGAATGCGATACGAGATTAAAAACCAGCTTGGCAACTGTTAACACTGGCGCAACTAGGTCAGGCTTTTCTGCTCAAATCTGCAGAAAAGATTTGAGTGTCTTAACATCGATAAACCTCAGTCTACATAGAAGGGTATTTCCTGATTCCTTTTTGCTCATTTTGGTAATTTCCAGAGCATTTTCACTTAAGTGTGAAGTCCTAATTGAAAGTAAACTGCGTCTCAAATATCACATCTTCTGTATGCAATTATTACACCAAAGAAGTTGTGAGTCATGATAACATCATCGCTCTAGCTTAATGCAGAATCTAACGTGACAGGGATTGAAATCTCCAACATGAAGCCCTTCACCTTTGCTATTAAGCGTACTAGCAAAATAACTGGAAAACTCTGTTCGCATTTATTTGGGGGGCGGTGGTGGAGAAGCTAACAAGAATCATTAAAGGACGAAGTAATTGCGCCATCACTCATGAACCACTCTCCCCAATCTGGTGAAATAAACCAGCTCAGCAGCGAGGAAAGGAAGTCTACTAATGAGCATTCACTGTGTCGTCCCGGCACCTCAAGGTTTTCAGCCCGAGCACATTCTCCATCTGCCATCAGCGCCACTCTGGTGCACCCAGCCTAATCGGTTCCGAACTGAATTAAACCCAGAACTGCACATACGTTGCGGAAACCAAAGACCAGCCACACACATACACACTCAAGCTCCTTCACATGGGCAGCTCAAAACTAGTTCCTACTTCAAACACACTTTTAAAACCATTACCATGAAAGGTTTTTAGAGTCCTTTTAAAAAAACCTTCTTATGGCTACCAGGAACCAGAGCTGTCCTTAGCTACACCCGCCTTACTCTAATTCTGCCCCCACCCCACCCCCATTTTAACCTCGATCAGTACATAAAGCACATGAAGAGTGCTACAAAAAGATTCCTTGATAAATGGAAGGCTCTCATTATTTTCCCCATGAGAAGCACCCAAGCATCTACATTGTGTTTTACACAAAACCAGACATCTTGGTCCCCAAATACTCGGCATTAGGAGAGGGAAACCGATTTAGAAAATAGTCACTAATGTCCTTCTGCTTTTGCGACCCAGGACCGCAGTCCTGGCTGGCAGCATTCACACTTGGTTTTCTTTTACGAAAAACCAAGAGTCAGAGTTGCGACTTCATAAAAGAAAATAATCCGGGGGGTGGGGG